TTTGTTTTCAGCATGGATTCCAGATTTTATTTTTGTTCTACCAAATACTAGACAGGCGCTGAACATTATAACTACGAGCAGTGGTTTGAGACAAGAATCAGGAGTAAAGTCGTATCCGTCAGTCAGGAGTTAGCCTTCAGCAGTTCCTTCCGAGTATTGAGACTTTGAGTGTACTCTACAGTTTATGTTATAGTTGATATTCCATATAGTACTGTTAATAGATGTGGATGATAAATCTAAATATATACAACTCAAAGGTGACTGACATAGTGATCTATCAACGCACAGTCCAAACGGATCGGGCTGAAATTTGGCATGCAGATAGATGTTATGACGTAGGCACCCGCTAAGAAAGGATTTTAATTAATTCTTCCCTCAAAGGGATAAAATTTTTGTCAATTTTAACCCGATCGGGCTGAGACTTTGCATGCATAAAGCTATTATGACGTAGATCCCCTAAGAAAGGACTTTGATAAATTTCACCCCTAAGGGGATAAATTATCGTGACCGAAGCCGCGAGCAACAGCTAGTTAATTTATATTTTTCAATTTACAAATATATTAGGCATGTGAATGAACTAAATAAACTATTTTTTTAATATTGTATAAACTAATAATATTATTTAACATATTATTTTTTTGTCAGTACCGAATGGATATAATATAATATATACATATAATCTTTAACATATGTTAATGATGTAAGTAAGCTAAATTACAGGTGAATGTTTTTAAACGGTCCAGGTGTCGCTAGTTATTTATAACATAAAATGCATATAACACTTATAGAATCTTGGTAATTTAGGAAATCTAAAAATACCAATAGAGCCGCTGTATAAAGTCGCTCTGTAAATCTGAACACGCAAAGTTCGGTGTGCAAAATGCTAACATTGTTAACGTTTTACAGTGCTACATAAATCAACCGTTATTCTGCGCTTCACTCGGCGTCATCAAATCATCGCAACGAACTTTGGGATGTTGGTTCTTTTGTTTGTGATTTTTTTTAACATAGCTTCATTTTGTGTACTAGACAAACTAAAGAAAGAAATAAGTAAACGTAAATTGATAAATAAAAACATTGTTTGTTCAATTATATTTTCTAACTAAGACTAATCTAAGACTAACTGTCTGGTAACACCGAAATCAAATTAAATTAATCCGCGAGACGGCTGCGGTAAGCTCGACCTGACGCTAATCAATGTGATTCAAATACTCATATACTAAATGAAATGTGGACATGTCAAGTTTCATTTTCCACGATATTGATAGTTGACCATACCTCTCACTTCACTATCTGTGCTTACAGACATAAAAGATATGTATATATTTGTATTCTTAGTATTGTTCATTACTAAATATATATATTTTTAAAATTTTGACTAATATAATAAATTACTAGATTAACTGCTTTTCTAAAATCTAAACACCACTTGAGTTTTTTTTTTATATATTACAATTATTCTGTGGAGTCTGTGGAAATAAAAATGCCTGCTCTATTTGGGTCAAGGGTAATTAAAACTTCGTTATCAATACTCAACTTTCGTTTAACAAGATTCATTGTACAAGGAAAGTATAAACGTGAAGAAGTAATAAATTCAAAAACTGAATGTTAATTTTAAATCATAATAATCTTCATTATCAACTAATTGTAAAAAAATATATATTTATTACACATTCAACAAACAAAAGAAGGTAATCAGACATTTTAAAGCTATATACTCTATCAAATATGAGATATAAGACGGGGACCTACCGTCTTCGCTAAGCATATTGTGAATAGAATAGAATAGAATAGAAAATCATTTATTCAAATAAACTTAATTTAAGCACTTTTGAATAGTCATAACAATTTGTTTTTTATCTACCACTCTATATATAAGTGATGAAATAGTGAGATATAAGTGATGAAGAGTCATGACGATGAGGAACTCAACAGATGACATTTCTAGGTATATTTGAATGCAACGTCCATTATCCAATAATAATAATATTAAACGAAAACCTAAATTTATTAGATATGAGAATCCTAACTCAGCTTTCATTATTATCATCACGTGTAGTAATAATGTTCACTGTATACGGTCTCGTTTACACGTAACCTTTTATACAAGTGCGAGTGAGATGGCCATCACCACAGCAGCAAAACGCTCATAAACCGTTCCAAAACGCCATGAACATTAGCAAAGTTCCGCAATATTTGCAGCGGTGTCATAATGCTGACAGGAAAGCCACGGATTAGCCAACGCTGTGACAACCCACAACATTTGTTTTCATGTGTACACAAAAAATGCACAACGCACAGGATTTTTTAAAGGAAAACAGGCTCAGTAAATCCGAACCGTAAATACCAATTACTGTACACATGTTCATTGAATTGGAACGAAATATCGATAGAGATGGCGGAGTTATCGTTACAAACACGAATATTGAATGTCGAAGATTTTCGTACATAAATTTATATAATTATTATTATAGTCATGTAACAACTGGTATTTCTTAAATAAATAATATCGTCTATATTTTTTTATATACATATATTTTTTATCTATTTGTGACTTCTAAACTCTTCTATATGGCTGAAGGACAAAAATAAACTATTTTGGAATGTAAAAAATACATTCGAATTGAGAATCTGCTAATATTTTTGAAAGAACTCATATACTATATATATCTACTTGAAAAGCAGCAAGAACTTCCAGCATCTAATTTGTACATGTTAACTAGTCGAAAATCTTATTAAAAGTTAAAAATAATCTTCTGATGTCGCCCGAGTTTGCGAATAAGATCGTTAGTGAGTTAATTAAGATTGAGGGTTGATTAAACGTTTCCGAGTGTTCCTATGATAGATGATTATTGCTGGCAGAGACTAACTTCCTATTTCACATTCGATAAACATCTTTTACGTAATTAGCGATGCGCCCCGGCTTTGCCCGGATGCGGGTGCAGGTGTATTAGTTGAGGTAGACTGTAATAAGTCCTCTGCGAGGATACCTGAGTCTCACCTATTTCAGCTGCCAAACAGCTTGCTTTTTAATATGTGTTGAGGTTCTAGGGTTCAGATTAAGTAGTGAAATTACAGGATAAGAGGTATGACATCTTAATCCTAAGGAATGGCAATACATGAGTGGTATAGCGGGTGTCCAATAATAACGTGATGTGGTGCTGTTCATTTATATAGACGACGGTTACAGCTTATCAGGTGGATTGTAAACTTGTTTGCTATTTCATTTACATAAATAGTGTCTAGCAAATATAGAAATTATTAGATATTTTGTTTAATTGTCAGCTATATACGGATGCTAGAAGTCTTCTAAGTCTAAGAACCTCTCTTGCTTCCTTCAATATTAATTGAAAGGGCAATATTAAATATGAACATAACGATATTTTATTATTGTTGTTCTAATGGCATTTTAATAAATATATATATGTTATAATCACCTTTACGATTGCTATGCCAACGGTGGATCCTTTTTGCTGAATATATCGAAATGCGACATGGTGGAGAACGAGTTGGTAGCCTAAATGTAAATTAACATTTGGTTTGAGTTAGATTGAAACCTACAATCCCTCCCCTCTCCTCTTGTCACAATCTTCCACGCTCCTGGAAAGGTCGTTATAGATTCTGTTATTTTTTACACGAAGTTTGTGACTCAATCAATATAGACATTGTCTACTATAACGTATAACGTAACTTTGTGGCCTCTAAGAAATAAACTACTAGGCCACGGGGCTCTCAATACTACAATGTTCGGCACAATATTCCTTCGAAATTAGTACTCGACATAAACGGCAACAGTAGCTAGTGGTGTCTATGCAAATAGCTTTATTCGTAGCATCGCCGGTCACACCTGGTCCGGTCTTATTGAAGTTATAAGTTGTGCAAACGGCTGCAGACGGCTCTCTATCATTGAATATTTAGTTCCAAATATCTACTATCTTTATCTTGAACTGAAAACACGTCTTATTGAATTCTGTGGAAGATTCGAGAAGATATATTATTTTCGTAACTTCAGAAACAGAGTTTGTTGCTTTATTTCAAATTGGAAATTTGCAAATTATACGAATAATGAAATTGACATCGTTTGTAAAAAATGTAAGTTCAAAGCAAAGATCCTATTGAAATAAAAATAAATTTATCTATTTGATAAATATATACTCTGCCTGATTCGTTTGTTATATCGATTAAACTCATATCGTATGTAGTGTTGTACTTAACTGATATAATCAAGGTTACCTTTATAGTGGTAGCAAAATGTTTCGGAATTCATTTTTTTTTCATTTCTCAAATATTCTCGCAATGCGCATTCCAATTCCGTTCGTATACCAACATATCGAATGTCATACATCGGCATCAGTAACATGATGCTGATCTATAACATTTTCCCCGCATGATTGATTACAGGTTTCGTGCAAGAAAAACGACCAGCGCTACTCTGGCTTCAAACAGTAAAAAATGTGTTTGATTGAGAAGGAATACCTTGTGCATTTTGAAGTTAGACGAACGTGCAACTGTAGTGAATTTTTACAAAGTTGAAAAGGCGAAAACAGTGACATATAACAATGGAATATGGTTGAACTTCCCTCACCACTCCAACCGAACTGTGCTTCCGAGAATGTTCGCGCAGTGAAACTAGATGCAATTGTTCTAAATTAACATAAACACGAATATATACGACTGGACCTTTAAAAATATTGTACATATAATATATTTAAAAAAAACTTCGTCGTTGTCTACATGTGTTATCTTTAAAATTTCGAAAATTTTTAAGCATCGAAGCGGTTGTCGTATTTTTGTGATATAAATAAAAAAGTTAGCGTAATTTTTTCGATTCTTATATAAGTGGCAAAACTCGGTTGTGATGTGTGTAGTTTGTAAGTTGTATCGTAAGTAAGGTTAAGTTTGGCATATAAGGGTGGGTTTACATGGGAGCGCGCGGGCACCTCGCCCGGTAATGAGGGTCGTGGAGCGTGCGGTGCGTTGTCACGTGATTTCTGGCGCAGGCGCGGCCCGGCGCCGGTAAAATGCGAGAGCGGCGTCGCGCGCTCCACCGCACCGCCGCTCTGCTGTTGACCTGCCTCCTCTTCATCAATCCTCAAGTTGACGCTGCTGGTAAGTTCACCTTTAATTTTATAAGCATCTGGACTCTCATTTGATAAATATTCAAGATCAAAAATAAACTTATCAACCATTTTACATCATAGTAAAAAAATATACATATACAAGCGAATATTACAAATTTTAAAGTTCAACACCACGCTCTTATTTTACAATTCTAAAAAAAGTTTGTTGTTTGGAAATTAAATTATAGAAAATTTTATATCTACTTATATAATCAGAAATAGCATAATACATTTTGTCGTCTGCATAAAGTCTTTACTTTACATAAAATGTCAATATCACAATGAGGAAACTGTAGTTGAAGAAAACAATCACGTCAGCTCTGTTCCAACTTTAGACTACTTACGAATTTTGACAATTTTTCCAGAAAAGTATTAAAGTTATTTACAATCATTCAATATGTAAATTCGTTATTGTACAACTCTCAGATATTTAATGAGATCATAATTATTTCTTAAGATGAACGAGCTACGCGGAAGTATCTCTGATGAAATTCACCATGGGCTAAGGCTGCTTATGACTAAATTAAATGGACGTCTTGTCATTATATTACTATCCTCTTGTGAAATCTGGATCCATGGATAACAAGATTAATTATATTCAGAATTCAGAATATATTTTGCCTTACTTACCCATACTTCAAAGCAATACTTGCAATTAATTATGGCTAGTAAGACAAACTAGATATTGTCTACTAAGCACTGCCATATCCAAACTGGGTCACCCCACCTTACTTTACCTTTTTTTACTATTGTCAATATTTTTATGGACATTTTGTTAGTTCACTATCATCTTTAATAATCATCGTCTTAACCGAAATCATATTACTATACTATAACTGCGGTGACCCCGACGTAAGCAAACTAAATTAAAATATCAAATATTAACAATTTATCAATATACAATCAATATTATCAAAGCAATTACCCAATGCGGGTCGAGAGCATAATTATACAGGTACAATAAATACTAGTTGCAGTTTAACATTTTACTGTATGTGTATACTTTTATTGAACCATAAAATGGGAGATATAAAGCGATTACTCAGTACAGAGGCCGCCGACACGTACATCGTTTAGAATAATGTTTACTTAATCAATATTACAAATGAGAGTCCAAATTTGTAGTAATTAGTGTAATGTAATTTAAGAAGTGTTTAATTTTTAGGATTTATTGTAAAAACGAACTGATAACGTACCTTTATGCGTGTTATATAATTAGATTAATTCGTATTAATTCGTCATATGAACAACTATCATTGGATAGTAATTTTCATGAATCTCGCAAATATATTGCATTGAATATCTGTATTTACTTTTCTCAAAACTTGTGTTGAACTCTTATAGTTTACATTGGGTGCATTACTGGATTCAAATTTAAGTTTAGTAATAATATTTTCTCAATCCGCAATAATGGCATAATGTGTTTCTTCATTTTATGCAGAATAATGTTTCGTATTACCTGACCTGATAGTACTTCTTCGTTATTCTAACATTATTCATATTTATATATACTTACGTATCTAATAATATTACTCTGCGATTTCGCCGTATTTAGAATGATCCATGAAGTAGAAGGTACATATTTTGTCATAGACAAATATTTAAGTATTGATTGTCCATAGTAGGATGTCCGAAGTCATCACGGAAAGTTTTTCCCATGAAAATAATGGCTTTCTGTTTAAATACACTAATTATAAAGCTTCTTCCTATAATTTGACATCGCTCCGAATAATTATCCTTATTAGGGAATTATTGGTTTTTGGTCCCAGTCACTAATGAAGTTTCTATGTAAGCAAGCCTTAATGAAAGATTTGATAGACGGTATATTTATAGTATTTTGAATAACTTAGAATATGATCTCTTTATAAATTTAATATTATATCCTGTATTTAATTTCCGGATATTAGCTACAGTTAGTTTACGAACATTATAAGTACTAATTACTTTTATTTATCACTGTAATGTAATTAGGACAATAATACAAGAAACTTATTTACGTCTGTTTTGTATTATTTGTATGTATTTTATATAATAGTGATATTATTTTTATTGCAAACCCCAGATTGGTTTACTATCCCCCGGAGTAAAGCTTAAAGCTTTCATGGGTTATATCCGTAAATGGTTGTTATTTACATTATATACTATGATATACAGTATCCTAGTTGCTTTTTAGATTAAAGTAATGTTTTTTTCATATAAATATTGTTTTTTATATACCTCTAATTACTCGTACATATAAATTATTCAGGTAATGTAATTTTCACCATTATGAATATCAAATGCAATATTCGTATATTTATTTATTTACTCTTTATTGTCATCATTAGGATGACGGAAGACGGAAGACGTCCACTGCTGGACATAGGCCTCCCCCTCTTTATTGTACTAGAAGTAAATTATAAAGAACATAAACAGAAGTAATAAAGTTGAAAAGGCGGTCTTATCACAGAGGCAATTTCTTCCAGACCACCTTTTGGTATAGGAGAGAAGACAGAATGCGATAGATAGCGCAAGAATGGACTAGATAAATAAAAAGTGCATAGCAATATTATATATGAATAATAATTTACATATAAATGTCAATTTATAACTGCAAACGCTATATTACATACATGATTACAGTGATATTAACATCTGTTACCAGTTGCATCATATAATGATGATTTTCCTTGAATTTTAAAAGCGTAATTTACATACTTCCTGTTACTCAATTTTTGCTTATACGAGCGCCAGCAGACGCCTCGCGAAGGGTTAAACTAGTGGGTTCCGTATGAATACTCTCATATTCAGTGATTAGCATAGAGGAACGTGGGGTACGCATTAACATAAAATTCGGACCAAAAATCGTGTGCCGGGTCTACCCGTCCCGCATAATTATGTATCTACCACCGGTTTATGAAAATGAGAAGTAAAAATGGTTTTATGAGATGACATAAAACGTTTGGGCTTGACTACGAAACTGTTGTTCTCGAGTAAAGCCAAGTCGACATTGGCTCGTATAAGCCTTGATGCCAATTATTTCCAAGTTTCTGAAATTGACCAACAATTGGACATTGGATTGTTCTGGATATTAAAGGAACTGTTTTCGTAGTCAATTTTATTCCGCTCTGGAAGTTTGAAAAGTTTCAACTATTTAATTACAAAGTCCGTTGTACTGATAGTCGTATATTGCTGACTTATAGTATGAGCCAGTAAGTATTGTATATTTTACACAATAATAGATTGATTATAGTGAATAATATTCAGTTGTTCATAATGTCTTTGAGAAAGGATATTTGCACTAACTTGGTTTCTAAAACGTAGCAATGTAATAATGAAAATTCATTACCCCCACAACCACACATATACTGTAAGTGTAACATATTATTATCTCCAGCTATAAATAATATTTTTATAAAACAAACTCATAGCTTTCGCATCACCGCTTGCTTCATCTACTAAATCACGGAATGCGATTGGTTGTCACTATCATTTACAGAATTTCTTTCGGAGGGTTCATATATACTCCAATAATACATGCGTAGTTATTATCTCCGTCATATACACTGTACTGACTTATTCAGTCACACACGCGAAGTTCAACATAATATTGTAGCGATTACAAAAAGCTGTCATCGTATCGATATGTACTTTAACTCTTTGATACCATGTGTCGACGATTTGGAAAATATGATGGTATTACCGGCTCTTATTGTTGTTTTACTTCTTAAATTGTTATTATGCTAACATTACGGACACGCGGCGCATGTCATTTGCATAAGCTGGCTGAAGCGGGCGCGGCTGCGTTGGCGATAAAACGGCCGGCGTCGAACTTATGAACGCAATTAATATACCAAATGATACAACACCGTCCGCTCACTAAACCAAATTATCCTTTTTACCAACCCTTCCACTGAGTCCGCTGCTCGACCGCACTCTGCCCACAACATTAATTTTCGATTAAGAATTTTATTGCGATCGTAAACCGAAAAAAATGGCTTTACGCTTGCACATATTGGAATAAGTAAAAAAAAATCCGATTAGATGTCTTTACGGCACTCAGGAATATATATTAGAGACGTGACTATCTATCTAGTCGATTACGAGTGTCGAATCGATTCGTCAAAAAAATTACGGCGCTGACTTTGATTTGCATTTTAATATACACAAGGGGATACCGTGGAACGAACCTGTCATATTGTGGAAAAGTGATCGGATGTAAAGTAGACATGCGGGAATCGATGGAAAACAATCGATTTACATACAGAAGGCGAGGGGTATAACGAGGTCGCTCTGATAATAGAGAAAATGTGGAGTATTTACCGTTATGAAATTGTTTGTATACTGTACAATATTACTGTACAGTAATACAGCATTGTTATGTGTATTTACTTATATATATTTATTGTAATGATACGTTATTGAGAGAAATACTTTATTGTAGGTGTGTATAAATGGAATATAGACACCATGGAATAAATTACTACCTTTACAATTGATTGAAAATTTAATAACATACCACGACATTGCGATGTACTATGATGTATTCGTGTGGATTATTATCTGATATTAGTTTCCATGGTTCTATTTGTTTCTGAAAAATAACACCAATCAATCAACTAACTCTAAGTACTGAGTTCATAAAATAATTGCAATTTTTCCACGTTTTTTTTTCGTAATGTAATTTATCACAATTTTATAAACTGCATATATTGAGAATATACAATAGAATTCCTAATTGCAACCGCAACATGAACCGTAATTACGTTCTTTAGTTGTCCCTTAACAATACCACCTCTATACACTATTAAATGGCGAGGATCCAGCCATTCGTTCGCCGAGAACAAATCAGAACAACCGCAAACGACGCCGCCACGTGTCTACTCGAGAACATAATCTATATGCTAATACATCCACGTCAGATCTGACGATACGGCTAGGTTTACGCGATATTTTGCAATACATCGATCATAGTATATTAAACAGCGAGTTATGTTCCTGTTATACTGT